CAGCTCCCTCCAAAGGGAGATCAATAAGCTGATGATCATTGATAAACTCTGAGAAAAGCCTCATAGCCGGAGTCCATGACCCACCTGTAGACCTCTCCATCGGGGATCTTACCACATTAAAGTCACTTGCCACACACCAAGGAAGAGACCACATCTCCTGAACCGCACTAAGGTCCTCCCACAACACAGGCCTCTCACGGTCATCCACCGGCCCATAGACACCTGAAAAAGCGCAAGGGAAGCCATCCTCTTCCAACACAAAGGCACAAGACAAAGAGAACAACCCCCTACACACATCCACCTTATCCATCCATCTCCTATCCCACATCAAAAGAATACCTCCAGAAGTGAGCGCCTCCCATATATGATGTGGCCTTTGCTAAAGAATTGACATGTCAAGAGTGTGCCTGATGAGACAAAAGCTCCCCCTTTCATCCCCCCTCCGCCCCCGTTTTGTCTTCACATTGTCTTTTTCAGGGGTATTAGTTTTTTCGTTCCCATTTTCCCTCTCTCAGATATCTTTTTAAAAAATGTTGCCCATTTTGGAATCTCTCTCTCTCTCTCCCCCTTCCCTGCGCCTCTTCCAATTAAATGTATCTCAATTTTGTGAATATTTGTATTTATTTATTGTTTTGGAGTGATAAACCAATTTCTACATCTCTTTATTGATCTATTTAGTTCCCCATTTTCTTTTTGAGTAGTAGTGTTTTCAAATAGTGTGCAATGTTTGCTTATAGAAAAAAAGAGAGTGTGAATTGTTAATGCTATTTGCATATTTTACATGAACCCTTATAGTCTTTCACCTTCTCAAAGTCACTTCTTTTTATTAGCTTTGCCCTGTACTTACCTCATGTAACTGCTTTAATCGTGTCTCTCATATGTTGCTAAATTTATCTTTTTTATTTTAGTGTGAATTGTTAATGCTATTTGTATATTTTACATGAACCCTTGTAGTCTTTCACCTTCTCAATGTCACTTCTTTTTATTAACTTTGCCCTGCACTTGTCTCATGTAACTGCTTTAATCGCGTCTCTTATATGGTCATGTGTTTTCAAATTTATCTTTTTTATTTTATTTAAAAGTGTACCTTGATCCATTCATCTATGGATGGAAATGTTTTGGCCTACTTGGTCCACTCTTCTAAAAGCATTTCTCTAAGAGCTCAGAAAACTATTTTCAGGTTTTTGTACAGTTTTCTGATTTTCACTCAGAAAACAGAACATTGTTTATGATTTTCACTTATGGTTGGTTTGACTAGCATGAACTAGCGAGAAAGGAAAAGAAACATAAATTTTTTAAAATTTTTAGTAGTTTGGCTAGCGTGAAAAGGAAAGTTTTCAGGAAAGTATTATGCTCGCAACCTTGATTTTCGTTAAAATGTTTCCTCCATAAAACATGCGAAAATTTTAGTTTCGCGTGAAAGTTGTATCATTAAATATTAGTTTCCTCTAATACCCCTGTAAGTTGTTTCTCTTTGTTCTTCTTCAGACTCACAAAAGGAGAGTTTTCTTACACAAATTAATACTCCTAATTTGGTTACAACTCTCTTACTCTTCAAATTAAAATTCTTCCCAAAGTAAACTAATCTAATAGCAGAGTCCTAATATATAATGCAAACTTCCCAAAACAATAAAATAAAAAAAAAAAAACTATATAAAGAGACAAATACCAACTTCGTATCTAGACATATATATTTATTCATAAATTCAATTGTATATATTATTTTATTACTGTTATTATTATTAAATTCATTATTGTAATTTAATTGTATATATTGTTTTATTACTATTATTACTATTAAATTCATAAGGGTAATTTAATTGTATGTATTATTTTACTACTATTATTGTTATTTAATTGTATATATTATTATTATTATTATTATTATCATTATTATTAAATTCATAAGTGTAATTTTGACATGTAAAATCATTTTCCTTTCACTTTCTTGTTATCCAAACTAATTAAACAATATTTTCTCACAAGTTTCTTAAAAAAAATCTTGCTAATCATTTAGAAGAACAATACTTTCTTTCTTTTCTTTCACTTCACTTTCTTTTCTTTCACTTTCCATCATCAATTTCTAGCTAACCAAACGGACCATTAGAAAACAAAAAACTGAACCAAGCAGGCCCTTTATCTTTCTCTTGATTTTGGTGGATTTGTTGGCCTTTGCCATCTTTTTCTAGATGCTTTACATATAAAGTGAGTTGATCAGAGAGGTTCTAGCTTTTACAATGTAGGTACCTAGTACCCGGGGGGTTCGAAATTATAATGAAGTAACAAATTGTGAGGTATAACTCGAAATATAGTAGAATCCGAGGTGGATTGAGAGAAGTGGAAGCCAAGGCAAACTCGAGAGAGAGAGATATAAAAAAGATGGCAATGTGCAAATACACCATTATTGACTCCCTTGGTGAAGGTGTGAAGTGTGGGGAAAATCTGAAACTAACCTTCTACTTTCTTCGAAGCTCACCCGCGTAGGAGGCCACTATAGGTCAGGTACCTATATATTTATGGTTCAAATCATATCGATCATCAGCTGATGGCCCACAATCTTGACCCGGAGCATCGACTAGACTTCACCATTTGAAATCATCGAGTGACCTAATCTCGAACTGAGTCACTAGTCGATCGAAGGACTCACTCTCGATCCACAACTCCCATTGAACGACCCAGAGCCTCAGACTTTAAACAAACCCAGTCCATCGAGTGACTCAGAGCCTTGATCTTACTTTGAATAAAATCAAGTCCATCAAGGGACCCAAAACACTTACCCGCGATCTACTTCCTTCAGAATTATCCCACTTAGGGATTTCTCGTTGCGTAGGTTTCCTTCCAAAAACTTCCACAAGATATCTCACCATCTCAACGAGCTCTTAGCCTTGAGTCCTACCTCAATGAGCCGTATTCCTCGAGTCCTGCATGATATCTCGTCGCTAGTCTTTTTGCTGAGAAACCTCCACAAGATGATCCTTTCTGAGATCCCACATCTAAGGATACGTCGTTGCTTAGAAATTTTCTCATATATATTCCACGAGTGTCCTCCATTTAGTTTTAACATATGTACTTCTTGGCTTACTCTTCTTGAACTTGTGCCATTTGCTTGAACTCTTCCCAAAAAAAAAAAAAAAAAAAAAAAAAAAAAATAGTAATAATAAATAAATAAAATAAAGTAAAAATTACATATATTCTATAAAGCACTTGTATCCTCCAAATTGTATCTGCTTTTGATTATTGATACAAATTAGATATTAGTAAATCGAACTTCGTATCGTGCTAGTGTTTTATCTATCTAAAAGATCAGCAAGTTGAAACTTTGATAGTTAACAATTTGTCTCCTGCCTAATACAATTACGATTCTTAAATATGAAGCTCAATTTCTTGTCATGACTTTATTCTTATTTTGTAATGTGTTTACATCATGTCTGTATTCCTTTGTTTACAAATGAACTAGTATTATGTGTGTACTAATATTATAAACTGGAAACAAATCAAAGTTTTCATAGAAGAGGAAAAAGAATTAGTTAAATCTTTCATTTGTGCTTCTCATAATGACTTGTCCTCTTTCTTGGGGTATGCCTTATTGCTTCACTCAAGCATATTTTTGCATCTCTTTGAAACTTGTGTTGTGCTCAAGAAACAAGAAGAAAGATAATTTTTATTTTTGGGGCTGATCCATCATAAATAATTTCCAGTTAGGTTCATTTGGAAGTTTCCAGCTAACAATAATATATTCTTTAAATTCCAAAAAAACAAAATGTATCTGACAAGTTACCTGCACATGGAAATCGTAGTGCTGGATCCATCAAGAAGTCAGAAATTTCTTTCAGACATCCTTGATGGCTGATGGATTAAACTGTTATCTGTTGGCTACATCTCCTATCAATTTCTGTTCACTTGGAGAAAAAAAAAGAGGATACAATTGGATCGACAGTCAGGATTGAGTAAAGAATGTTAGGATTTTGAACTGCTAATAATAGCTTACTTATGTGCACTTAGTATTTACTTACACAACTTTTTCGTCTTGGAACTTTTTGTAGTAGTATGTTTCGTGGCCCAAAAGGAATGGCATAGCTTGTACGGGTGGAGTGATCTCTTTGTTCTCCTATTAAGCATTTTTGAGCATCTTTTTAACTTCATTTTGGTACATGAGATCCTCTCTTGTCAGCTTATATTTACCTTAAGTTTCATCTGCATTATATTAGTAGCTAAATTGGGTACTTGGAATCTTTTCGTGTCACTTATGAAGCCCTACTTCATTGCAATTAGGGTGTTGGTTGGTTAGTTCAACTTGATGACATCAATAATAGATATGCGCTGCTTCTGAAAAATTATGTTTTATTATTTTAGTTGTTATGCATTTGCCTCTTTCAATAAGATAAAAAATTGGAAACTGAGTGTATTCTACTCATGCTCTTCGTCATGCCATCTACCTAACAAATGAGTGTTTACACTGAATTTTATGGAATTGGTTCAAACATGCTGTCCTCTTACTCATTTATTTAGTATCAGACTGTGTGACTGGATGATGGGATGCCATTGACTTTAAAATTTTATACTCACCTTAATAGAAATCCTTGATTAGTTTCTCTGATAGATGATTTGGGTAATGCCTGCTACCAAATACGCCTTGAGTTGATGCCTTCATGAGAATGCTGATGATTCTTTCAGAAATCGGAGTCTAATTTTGCTCCTTAGTGTGTATTCAAAAGAGATGACAAATTTTCATTGATGATATTCGTTTACTAGCAAAGGAATTTGAGAGAAGGGCTTAAACTTGCAATAAGCCCATATCTAATAGAAACTTTTTCCTTTGTTTTCTTCACCCCCTTGCAAACTGCAAATAATATACTGGGTGAGAATTTTATTCCATTGAACTGAAATACTGTTCGTCAGTTAGGGCCGCTTACCACGATTATTTCTTCTGCTTTAGTTGACATAGAATAATACTGTCACACAATTGAGTCCATAGCTTTTATGTTGCTCTGTGTTTGCAGGTTCCATGTTGTGGCCTATTTGCAGCAAATATGGTGGTATGAAGTAGATGGGGTGGTAAAGTTTCCTTTTCCTGCAGATATCTACACGTTGTCATTCAGGATTCACCTTGGGAAATTTTCCAAAAGGCTAGGGCGGCGTGTCTGCAATTTTGAGCACACCCATGGTTGGGATATAAAGCCAGTACGATTTGAGTTGTCAACTCCAGATGGTCAGCAAGCATCAAGTGAGTGCTGCTTAGATGAGACTGGACAAGATGAGGTCAATGGCAACCACAAGCGTGGGTGCTGGATAGAGTACAAGGTAGGTGAATTCATTGTTGATGAGCAAGATCCTGCTAAAGAAGTTAGATTTTCAATGAAACAGATAGATTGCACACACTCCAAAGGTGGCCTTTGTGTAGATTCTGTATCCATTATCCCCAGTAATTTGAAGCAGCAGAGAAGAAGAGGGGTTTTGAAGTAGACACAATAGGTATGTTGTTTAGTATTGTCAGTTTTCCCAGAAGGTTCTAGTGGGGTTTATCATACAGCTTATGCTTCTGAAAGCATTTGATATTGTCGAGGATGCCATCTTAATTGTTTTTTTTATTAGTCATGTGTCCTCTATGTCATTGTAATTTTTGCCAATCTGCTTGTTGTTCAGTTTTGTTTAATATATAACCCTTTGATGAAGATAAAGAAAATATGCTTTCATTATCACCACTTTTTCCACGCATACTTTCTTTCAAATGTTTATAATCTAATTTAGATGCAAATGGGGCATTTATATATTGACAAGTGTGTGTGTATATATTCTAAAATCTTATCAAATCTGCTGTTATTGCATTTGTTTATATGATATATGCTTGAAGTATGCATAAATTAGAATGGCAATGGACAAGAGATTTAACCTATTTACATTTCCTTGCCATTAAAATATAGCATCTAATGCAATTCTGCATGTCTTTGGGAAATACGCTGGTCCTTACCACTTAAGACAATTTTCTTTCTTGTGGTGCATCACTTCATTTGAAACGAGCTTTGAGTTGCAGATGATCCTAAAAGTTCAATTTGAGAATTAAACTTTTAAAACCTCCCATTTGCCTCTCGCTTTGTCTTTTAGTTTAGTTTGTTGAGCCTGTTACTTGGTAGCACTCGAGACTAATGGTAGAGTTGCAAACAGGACTGGACCATAGGGAGGGAGTTTTGGCTACTTCAAAAGGTAGTTTACATGTGTCAGGAATAGGAAATCCCTCATCTTTGATGGACCTGAAAACTTGATTGGAGTCTTGGTAAACAGATATCCGTATCTAGCATTTTCCCTTGTGTTGTATTATGTAGGAGTTGGTACTTCTCACCATGAAAATACAGTGAATTGAGTTTGCAATTCATGTGCGCGTGCACAAAAAATATAACGAGTGGGTGCTCGTTTGACAATCTAGTAGACACACCATAGTCTGTTTCATAGCAGGTCAAGTTGTTTAGGGACTCTTCGTAATTGCATTTAATAGCATTTGCTGTTCTAATTTTATTGTGCTACAGATCTCTGGTAGAACTTGCATATCATGACTTTCCATTAGTACTGTTTGATCATTGAAAAATGCCTCGACTTCGACTGTTCCTAGTTTGATGCTGCCTGTATTTGACTATACACCACCCTTGTGCTGGCATTGTTTGTAATCTAAGCATAGGAATATGTTACATTTAGCGTGACATGCCAACCGATTTAGGACCACTGATCATTTATAATGTTAGATGACCAAGTTTACGGGACATCCTTTTGTTTATTACATTTTGTGCGTTTTTGGTGTAGCTATTTAATTACTATTGCATGCTGTGTGTGTGTGTGTGTGTGTGTGTGTGTGTGTGTGAGGGGGAGGGGGAGACAGAGAGTTTTGAGCGTAGTACTTATTGCTACTAGTTTTCAATTCAATTATCCTCTAGCTTCAATTCAAATTTGGTTACGTAATTTTAATAACGGTATACTATCAATATCATATGCTGCAAAACTTGTAAAAATGCAGGGTTTGTGATTCATGAACCAAAAGGGTTGTTAAGGCTGAGAAGATGTTCTGGACTCTCAGCCTTGTTAGCCTCCTTGGTATCTTCTGCTAAGATTTGGAGAAGAGTGTGTTTTGCCAAACATGGCCCTGTTATGACTCTGAAGCATAAATATTAATATTTGTATATATTTGTTTTTACAAAATGACATTGTCCTATTGTCTATCACTAATAAAAACAGACAAGAACAAGTTTATGTTTTTGGCTGTTTGAAATATTTACCAAATTAGAGAACCTTCAACGAAATTGCGAGATGGTTATTTTGAGACTCATTCAACTGGCTTGTCAACGTCGGATTTCAGAAGACAAGAAGTATTAGATGGTTATAAATTATTTTTATTAGTATTAATTGTTATGATGGTGATGGCGGTGATACCATGAGATTTTGTGGAGTATTAAGATGAGACACCATACCCACCACCTCTTGATAGATATCCACTGTAATTTGATTAAAAAAAAGAAAAGGAAAAGGAAAGTGTAAGAAACTATAGTCAACGTTTAATTTTTGACAACTTGTTCTCTTAGCTTTCTAATTTGGAACTTCCTCCATATATATTCCTTGTTTGATGCACTGAAAAAGTTATTTAAATTGCGCTTTTTATATGGACCAAAATGCATTATTTTATGTGACATTTTTGGTCAATAAAATTGGTAAAATGGATTTCAATAATGACTTGTAGTCTGAAATTCACTTTTATTTTACGGGAATCAACTCTAAGATATCATCGATGACTAGGAGCCAATGTATGTCCAGGACATATGCCTCCCTAGTCTTGGCCACTATAATATAGTGAGTATATGGTAAAATTTTATTTTTCTCCTTGTTGAATCAAACCCCCTTTTTTTTTTTTTTTTTTTCAAAGTTCTCTCATTTTTCTTTCTTTTTTATATTTATGAAATATTTATCTTTTTTATGATATATTAATATGTAATAATAATTTTTTCTTTTTGTCTTTTAATTTTAATAATTTATATTTGCCATGTTTATTAATTTTTATATTTTTTATATCTGCCCTTGGGACAATTTAGTTTTGGGAAATTTAGTTTCATGAAATCCTAAAAGTTTGGGAAAAAAAAAAAAGTCACAAAAAAAAAAAAAAAACAATCATTTTATATAAAAGTAAGTCATTTCAATCTTTTCATTCCAAACCTTATTAGCAGACATATTACATATACTATTAAACAATACTTTTTGTGACAATTCACTGAATTTAGTTGGTCCATAGTCCATAACTGTGACCCAAACCCACCGCATAGGAGTATCCAAACAGCTGACCCTGACCCTGACCCTGACCCTGCTATATAAAACTCCGTACATCCGCAGACAAACTTTGGTAACTCAATAGCGCTCTCTCTCTCTCTCTCTCTCTCTCTCTCTACACAGAAACCCAAAACGACACTACTTTTCTCCAAAACCCTCACAATCCAACCAGCGATTGGCCAAATTCTCGGAAACACTGATTCATTCTGATCAATGATGGATGGGAATAGTAATCAGGAGGATATGGATCGGAGCGAGAGCAGCGATTACACGTCGGAGGACGAAGGGACGGAGGACTACCGCCGCGGCGGCTACCACGCCGTCCGAGTCGGCGACACTTTCAAGAACGGCCACTACGTCGTCCAAAGCAAGCTCGGCTGGGGCCACTTCTCCACCGTCTGGCTCGCTTGGGACACCCGTAACTCCGTACGTCTCTTTTTTTCTCTCTCTCTAACTTCTTACTTCAAATCTTTTTCTTGATCTGGTGATTTTCTGTAGTGTGTCTACAAAAGAAGCCTGAACTTTGATCTGATGTTGATTTTTGTGTTTACAAACATTTTACTACGATTTAATTATTGTTATTGGTTGTTTAGAATGGGGGAACCAGAATGAGCAAGGTTCGTAGTCTTTAGTTTTGAATCTTAATTTTTTTGTTGAGAAAATGTAATTTCTTACTTGGATTCTTTATTAACTTTTGTTTGATTCACACAAATAAAATAAAATAAATAGAACAAAATAAGAAAATGTGCGTGAAGAAGTGCAAGGAAATATTGGATTTTTATTTACCAAAAGTACTTGTATTAACTTCAGTTCAGTTGCGTTGCTGGTTTTCTTCTGTTGGATTAGCATATCAGAAGACGTACTTTTCTTGCTTTTGTGAATTTCCAACCAACATTGCTTGGTTTTTGACTCCCAAAAGTAAGCAAAGTACTTCTGCTTTTATAACCAATGAGGTACCTAAGATTCATAATTTGACTTTCCTTTTATCTCAGACTTCCTGAGAATTCCATCTGCTGCATTAGTGAATTGCTTCTCATTCACTGTTTACCACATAAAATTCATGAACACTGCAGCGATATGTAGCGCTGAAAGTACAAAAGAGTGCGCAACATTACACGGAGGCAGCAATGGATGAGATTACCATTTTGCAACAGATTGCAGATGGAGATCCCGAGGATAAGAAATGTGTAGTCAAGCTTTTGGATCATTTTAAGCACTCGGGTCCAAATGGGCAGCATGTCTGCATGGTTTTTGAATTTTTGGGGGATAATCTCTTGACACTTATCAAGTATAGTGATTACCGTGGAATGCCTATTCATAGGGTCAAGGAGATATGTTTTCATGTTTTGGTGGGTTTGGATTACTTGCATAGACAGCTCTCTATTATACACACCGATTTGAAACCGGAGAATATCTTGCTGTTGTCCACGATTGACCCGTCTAAGGATCCAACAAAGTCTGGTACTACTCTTATTCTTCCAAACAGCAAGGACAAGACGGCGTTCGAGTCTGGGGTTTCAAAAGATATTAAGACATCCAATGGCGATTTGACTAAGAACCAAAAGAAAAAGATCAGAAGAAAGGCTAAGCGAGCAGCTCAAGGTTGCGCGGGAAAGGAAGCTTCTGCAGAAGCTGAAACAGATGCTGAAACATCTGGTGCTGTGGAGTCTTCTAAAATTTCAAAATCAAATGCGGATTCTGTGGAAGAGCAGCCTGATAGTTCTGTCAATGCAAATAGATTGTTGAATTCTGATGGGACAAGGGGCACTGACCAAAGGAATCAGGCTCACAAGAGAGGAAGCCGTTCCACAAGACAGAAGCTTTTGGCTTCGGTTGACCTTACGTGCAAATTGGTTGACTTTGGGAATGCTTGTTGGACATACAAGCAATTTACGAATGATATCCAAACAAGGCAGTATAGGTGTCCAGAGGTTGTCCTTGGAGCTAAATATTCTACTTCAGCAGATCTTTGGTCCTTTGCTTGCATTTGTTTTGAGCTTGCAACTGGTGATGTTCTTTTTGATCCTCACAGTGGTGACAACTTTGATAGGGATGAGGTATGGATGTGTTCTTCCCATAATAATCATTGTTTAATATGCTCTTCATTCTTCGAATATTCATTTCATTTCTTTATTTTTTCATTTTCGTTCTTGTTCAAAATAAGAAATCCATTAAGACATGCAAACATTGTGTAAACAATGTGCAAGTATGTGTTTTGAGAGAGAAAGAGTGAGAGCTCGCGATACATATAACATTGCAACAAGTTGAAAGTAGATATGTGTCCTGAATGAAATTTAAATGCTAGCTCCATTCATGGCTGTCTTTTTAGAGCATGATCTGAAACATTGGAGGTTATTCTATCCTACTCTATGGTTTTGTGTGTCTCATCAATGAAGTACAATTCATCTTCTCATTCCAAGCTATTAATATATCTTTATTTTTTTTCTTTCTTTCTTTGTAATAATAATTGTACAAAAGCTTTCAAAAATTCCAGTTTTTTGTGTTTCTCAGGTATGATGGTTAATATAGAATATTTCTTTCATCGCAACAATAATAATATAATTTCTCTAAAGAAGAGAACTTGAAGGTTTAAGAAGAAAAAAGATAATGAAAAATTTGTTGAGACTGGAGAGAAACCAAGGCACTTGCACCTAGGTTCTTAAGCACACACACCTAAAGAAAGGTGCATTGCACGTTACAACTTATAAGTAATAGGCTTAAAAGGGTATTTTAATTTCATACTACAAAACGATCCAATTTGAATCACTTTATTTAGAGGACTATAGCTTGGAAGGCAAGGAACTTGGTGACCAGGTAAATGTGGTGCCAACTGCCAATTTGCCAAGTAAAATTGATGACTTCGGAATGGCGGTCTACTTCTCATCCAAAATTGAAGTTCCTGAAATATCCTAGCACGAAAAACTAAAAAGTTAAAATAGCTATAAAACTTAAAATACTATAGCTTGGAAAGCAAGGAATTTGGTGGCCAGGTAAATTGATGCCAACTGCCAAATTGCCAAGTAAAACTGATGACTTTGGATGGCGGTCTACTTCTCATCCAAAACTGAAGTTACTGAAATATCCTACCAAGAAAAACTAAAAAGTTAAAATAGCAAGTTCTCAAATTGAGTTTTGCCAAAAAAAGTGCATTGGCCCTTGAATCCAGTTGCCTTTGCAAACTTATCTGGCATGTTTTTTTGCATCATTATTCATATAATTAATTTGTAACAAATTTTAATGGATTTGGTGATAGGACTCCCTAAGCAGACCTCCATGCAATGGTGTCAGGGCTAAATTGAACCAAACATGGGGTCCTTCCGTCCTGGTATTGTGACACATCTTTGTCAGTACCAACTGAACCTAGCTTAGGAATTTGACTATTCCACTCAAGTTCAACCCAAAATTGAGAATATATTTTCCAACCATGCTCTGAACTTATCGTGCATAAAGAAAGGCAAAATTGGAGGGTAATGTGTTGAAAACTGTCTATCAGCCATAGTCATTTGTAAATTGTAATAATGAGACTAAATACGTCCATTGGACTTAAATCTGTTCCCATTTTGAACTCATTTTTTGGTTTTGAATTTTCTGCAATGACCTGATCATTATGTTCAACACCTACCTGTGTTAGAGGTTTGGCCAGTTGGATCAGGTAGTTGGTTTACCTGATCTTGTTGGATGGACGTGGATACTTTTATGAAAGAGTCATACATCAGTATCACAGACTAATGCTTCTTGGTTATGTGCTTGTTCCAACTTGTATGGGAAGGCAGAAACTAAACTTGGTGAGGACTACATTTGCTGCCATGCTACGCGAGACATAGTAGCATTGAAGTAGATAAAGAAATAAAGCACTCTCCATCAGGTGCAAAAAACAGTTTATATATCTTCCATTTCAAGATGTGACTAATTATTGGAATTAGTCATTAAGTAATCAAAGTCGTGTTTTTAGACTATGGTCTATTTTTATGATTGTTTTTCGTGCATGATATGCCAGCGTGCATGGGATTTTGGTTAAAGTGAAGTCTTGTCCAACAGTGAAACTCTTTATGTCACGCGGCTGGTTTAGATGGGTCCTTGACTCTTTTCCTTTCAAGTTTTAACTGATAAAAAGGTGCACGCCAGATAGTAGCCTTTACGTCATGAAGGGGAAAGTGAGGACCCTTGCCGCTCCTTTATTGAATGGTAAGATGACAGTGTTTATGAAAATAGAAACTTGTAGTTAGAGATTGTGCTCTATCTCCCTTTGCAATACAAAAGTAGAAGAAAAACCTCTTGTGATCTGATGGCTGCAGATTGTTAGTGGAACTGAAGATATGTGAACCTCTTGCTGAATTTGGAAAGTCTAATCATGACATGAATTTACGTAATTTCTTCCTCCCCACCCAAACTCCCTGTGCTCATTTTCCCCTTTAAGTTTCTCTTTGATATTCTTGACTTGGCTTTATGTTGGGTCTGTTATTTGAGTTCCAATTTTGTTTTTACCCTTTCTGTAAGGAGTTATTGTTATTCCTTCCTATGCTGCGTTCTTGGGTTTGGATTCCGTCTATGCTATTTTAGGGTTTTGTGTCTGTTGTCAATAGACTGGTGTTTTATATGGTTTTTGGCATCTTATTCTATTGTTTCTGTTTTTTGAGTTGTTATTTTTGTATATACCTTTTTTTGATGTAGGCAGCGTTTGTTTTGACGTAAAATATTTTCTTTGGAAAGATTTTCCTTTTTCAGGTAAAAATATATATATTTTTATTTTTACTTATTCGGTGTTTGGCAAAGGTCTAGGTTGAGGTCGAGTCCATCGAGTGGGGTGTGTAAAATAACTTGCTGAAAATTGATGGGTAAATTATTTTTGTTAGGTTTTTTCTTTGTAAATGTTTTATGACAACCAAACACCAGAAAATAAAAAAATATTTTCTGAAAAATATTTTACATCCAAACAAACGGAGCCGTAGTTGATGAAGCAACCTTTTCATTGGGGTGATGTTGCCCCTTCTGCTGTTTTAGAGTTTTGTTAGAGGGAGGAAAAAAGTGTTCTTCAATAACCTGGCATTTTTCATATGATTTCTTTCACTTCTTTTTTGTTGGGGGGTAAAATTCTAGATCTATTATGGCATACTTTTCCAGCCTTTCACATTTCCACTATACTTAACTGTCCTTCTCTAAATAGATATGTTCAAATATCATTTCCACAAGATACTTCATATTCGTTATCGGGAACTTTTGCAAAAGAGTTCCAATTCAGGAAGAACTATTCATCATTATGGAAACACTCTCTTATGCTTGAAATATGTAAAAAGGCACACCCTCTCATTGTTCATATACCAGTTGAATAAAAGATGTTGCTATTGTTTTAGTATCCTTAATATCAAACTGGTGATGTTACATGAAATGAATAGATTATGTGATTGAAGGTTAACGAGGCAACTAGAAGGCCAAGAAAATTGTGGTTTGAAGTGGTGATAAAAACTTGATGTATTACGTTTTGTTTAACTAGGCCAACAGGAAGGCCAACTTATATGATTGGGATGAAGGTCAGAATTCTGTGTCTGCTCCAGTCAGTTGGGGTAAGCATTCATTGAGTTAATAAAATAGCATCTATCATCTTTCCTTTTCTTTAGGTCTCATGCTTTCCCGTTTACTAGGAAAATGTCCCCAGTTCTTGCAAGGAGGTTTAAAACATGTTCTGAGGAGGAATATTACGTTGCGTCCTAATGATAGTATTAGTGTCTGATTTCTCTCTGAATTACTTTTGGAAACAAGGTTGAGTATGACATTATGCAGCTTCTAGGATCTACAGAAGAAAATTTATCAGTCATTTTTACATGCATTTTTTATCTGCAATAAGCTCTTAACCAAGTTCCTCTTTATGGTTCGGTCATAGCTGATCAAATATAAACCAGGTTATTTTTCTGTTTGCAGGATCATTTAGCACTAATGATGGAGCTTCTTGGGATGATGCCGCGGAAGGTAATAATATCATCTTTACAACCTTCAAAAATTGGTTGGTAATATTAGGCTCTCACATCTAACTTTCAAATTGTTGGCTACTGTACTCAGATTGCCCTGGGGGGCCGTTATTCCCGTGACTTCTTCAACAGATATGGTGATTTGAGGCACATCCGTCGGTTGCGCTTCTGGCCCTTAAATAAGGTTCTCGTGGAAAAATATGATTTCAGCGAAGAAGATGCAATTGACATGGCTGACTTCCTGATTCCAATACTTGATTTTGTCCCTGAGAAGCGACCAACAGCAGCACAATGCCTTCTTCATCCATGGATCAGTACAGGTCCTCGTCTTTTAGAGCCTTCAGTGCCTTCTACACAATCCCAAGCTGCAGTTGGTGTAAATTCTGAGAAAAAGAGGAGGGAGAAAGAAGAAAGGGAGGCAATGGAGGTAGGTATGGAGAACATTGCCATCAATGCAGATTCTAAACTGCTCAAAGATTCCCAGTCTAGTAGTGAGTCCTCCAAGACAGTCGTAAGTAGTTCATCTGGGTAGGATTCTGGCTTATGTTACTGTATGCAACCTCTCCCTTCATCTTTCTCCAGATGTTCGCAATAGCTGTTTGATTCTTGCCGAGAGTGATGTCTTCTCCCATTAGTTTGGAATTTCAATTTGCTTTTTCTGGATGGGTGTGGTATTATGCGGATGAGAGCCGGAGTAGTTCAATAGTTTAAAGCGGTTAGAATCCCGGATTAAAGAAGAATCATTTTCTATAGCACAACTATTGGACAGTGTACACTTTACCCATGTATGCAAGGCGACTTTGTTCATTTAAGGGGATATATTGATATTGAAACTTTTTTCCACATTCCGAAATACTTGGCATAATTTCTTATCCTATTTACTATTTAATTTAAGGACCTGTTGATATTCGGCACTCTAATTTGTCTTGGTATAAGCTGTTTGGAATTTTGAAATATCTATGTTTCCTTTGTGTTTCTCGGATTCTAGTTTCCCTTGAATCTTGTTTTCAGATTGGTTCCTTGGCATATTTTAGGAAGTTTTTGCTTCAATGAGTTCAGCCAATGTGAGTTAACTATTCCCCGAAACAGTGAACGGTTTATTGCCATATTTCCAGATATGTTTCCTAGGTGTTTCCCTGTTTTGAGCAGCGGAAAAGAAAATGCGTGTGTTGGAGGGAACACCCGCTCTATTGGGGGGTTTCTGAGCTCTGCTCTTCTTAGTTTAGTTTGTTGGATCTAAGAAATTTTAATGGCTGTTTTTACCAGGTCAGCTCGGATGCTGAGTTCTTCACGAGGAACTGATTCCCTTTCTTGGTATGGTTAGATTGTGTGGGTACTCTAATCATTCCAAAACTCGATTGTATCTTTATCTGGGTTTTTGATCAATTGGACTCCACTTACTCCTGTTGTAATTATGTCAATTTTTTTAACATAAATAATTTTTATTTGATTTTTTTTTTTTTTTTTTTTTTTTTTTTCGGGATGGTATAGTTGATCTTATTTTTGTTCTTGGCATCTTTTGAAATGAAAATTCTTGACTGAAAAAAAAAAAAAAAAAAAAAAAAAAAAAATTTCTCAGACGGTAAGTTCAAATATTTTGAGGTGTCACTGTTTTCTTTTGTCTTCATTTATCATATATTTATTTTCACAACGGCTGCATGGTTGGTTGTGGCTCCATATTGTACTGATGGCCTGATTAAATTATTTTTGTCCAATATGTAAACACGAATTAAAATCCTCTTCGGTGTAAGACAACGAAAAGCAATCCTAATTACGAACAGTGGTATTGGAGTAGGGAAAGGATGATCCAAAAGGTATTAGAGATACTGCTGGTATGACAATATGGGTTCATAACGAAGGATGATGATTAGTGGGACCTCCCCACTAGTTTTGTAAGGACGTTGATGAGGAGGGGTCGAGAGAGCTTAATTGTCTAAATCAATCCTTTTCAATTCACATTGAATTTTATTTATTTATATTTATATAGTACTATATATATGTTAACCTGAGATTCAATGAGAAGAAGTGTGGTTGAATCTCTCCATTTGAAGAGTAGTTAAGACTAAAGAAAAAGGGTCTCATTGTTAATAGAATTAGATCAAGGGACAAAAGTGATTTGCCCAACTCATTTTTTGTGTAATAGACTAACAGATGAATTTGGACTACTGCACGTGTCGTATATTTCTTCTTCCTCTTAATAACATTATTAGTTGACACCTAATACTAATAATGGTCATAGTTGCTTTGTTTTTTTTTTTTTTTAGGTTAATTACACGCAATCTTTATTACTAAAAGTTTGCAAATAAGACCAACATCCAACGGTTGAGGAAAATTCCTAAGATTTATACCTATGCCTAAGATTAATTCTACAAAATTCCCTCAATTAAAGAAAGTTGCTATTCTTCAGGAAAGATTTAAGCAATTAATCCAAATTACCTTATTGTGAAATGTGAATCCACCACATAAGATTCAATTCCAATCATTGATCCATCAACAAATGGGATAATACTTGGGTCTTCAAGACGGGTCCTCTAATTTGAAATATATTATGAAATCTAACCATGTTTCATGATAATTTAAAACAATACATTTTGGAATTTGAAGTCCCATCAAATGCATTACTTCCATCAATTGCAAACAACAAAAATACATTTTAGAATCTTAATTCTGTCAAATCTGGTCCCATGTGTGGGTAATTTGCAATGCATAATCTGTTAAAATACCCCTAATCTATTTGATTTATCCTACCATTCCTATAATGTTGTTGACCAAGCAAGCATAAAATGTTATCCCAAAGCAATGTTACAGATTTTTGATTAATTATTTCCATTATTGCATCTTGTATCAAATTATATCCATATCCCCGTTATCGTTATCTTACAAAATGCATAAAGGAAAAACAACACGAGATCAATCAAGTATAGTTTACCAAATGCTGCATCCTAGTGGTACACCATTGCCTTTCAAGATAGAAGATTGAGGGTTCAAGTCCTTAGAAAAACAATTGGGTGTGTGAATGTGTTTCTTGTAAGGTTAAAAATAAAAAAATCATTTTTATTGACAACCTTAAATAAATTTCTATTACAAGGGAAGAATCAAATGCTACAATCAAGGAAAAAAATGTGGCTGTGGAGCTTAATTGTTTCATGGCATTGTGGTTGGGGTTGGTCAACCAGGCATTGGCCAAATACCAAACTCGAACAACTCAAATTGTTTCATGGAATTGTTATTGTCGTTGGTCAATTAGGCATTGGCCAAACACCCCCTGCATTGCTTCTTCCACTTTCTCAATCTTCTTCTCTGCAATCTTAGTTGTTGCTGGATATCATTGACTGCTGCAAAACCCTAAAAATCCCATAAACTCGTGATTGTTTATCATTTGGATGCTCTTCTCAATTCCAATGACCCCTGTGAAAATTTTCCGGAAACGAGCAAGTTTAGTCCATTAGAACCTTTTTATTTAAACTTAACACCAACATAGGATTGAAAATTTGTTTTCATATATTTACCCATTGTGAGAGCACTAGCAAAGATGACAGCAGAGAGGATGAACACAATGATTGAAGCTCTTTTTAGAATTGCAACAAGTTTTCTTACAAAGAATTGTCCCCAGAAACCAGCCAATATGGACACTGACATAAGATATAAAGCTGCAAAACAGAAAAACAAAAGCGCATCATTTATTATACTTCAAGGAGTCACTATAGGATTGGCCTTACAACCAAGTATCTTATTTAACTGCTATTTAGGCTATTTCTGGTCAAGAAATAGAACGTTTGGATGAAGAAGTCAATCGTTATGAATGAAAAATCAAGCAAATAGATGATGAAATAAAAAATATACCGTAAGGAATGGGGAATCTTTTGAGGAGGTAAAACTCCACTACAGACAAGGATGATGAAAACATCATCACAAATGTTGCTGTCGCGCTAGCAACCTGTGAAAGAAACAAACAAATGGTGTAATAATTCTGTCAATTTTCGAAGAAATCACACACTGTATTCGAGTTTTCTTGAGCTGTTCATCAATATTGTACGAGAATTCTTGTGGAACTGCTGAGACAGATTCATGAAAGTAAAGTCTGAATTTTCCATGGAAAAAAACGTGCTGTCATTGTTGTGGTGGAACTTGGGAGAAAATTCAAGAAAGAATAACCACCAGGCATTACAATTTAACTTTCAGCTTGATGGCGGGAAAACATACGTAAAAGAAGGAAATCAAAGTACTTTACAGCCATCATTCATGACTCAACCTCCATTAGTTGACATGAGAGTTACAAAAGACTAAAAACAGTGTCCAAAAGAGAATTGCAAGTTATTTTTTTTATTTATTTATTTTTTTTTGTGGTTTTTAGAGTTCTCAAATCTTAAATTTTATGAAACGTGCAATTTTCATGCTATGTGAACAGAAAGAAATTTGTCAAATTGAAGAAAAGTTTTCTATTTTCCCTCTATCTTGCACTATCATCCTAAACAAAACAGAGTAATAATTAAAACTTTAAATCCTCCCTGTTTACCCTCTGTTTTCTCATGACATAAAAAGTAGTGTCTGGCAAAGCAAACTCAAACCAAATTAGTCATTTGCCCTCTATAAACAAAGCACCTAATGCCACATCTTGGGTGCAATTCATAAGGAATAGAAAGGTCATCAATTTCATTTTAATGCATAATCCATAATCAGGAATCATGATCAATGAAAAAACATACCTGAGGGATGACTCCGATCTCGAGGAGCAGAGGGCCAAGAATAAAACCACCACCAGAACCAAGTAGACCCCCAACAGTGCCCCCTAAGATGCCACAGAGTGCACAGAATGCAAGATTCATTAGACTCCAATCAATATTAGCTTCACATATTGATTCAGTGTTCCCAGTACTTTTCCTCTTCTTGCTCTCTTTGTACAATTTCACACATTCATATCCAAACACTCCAATTGCCACAGGTAACTGAAAAACACAACTAAAGGAGCTAAGATTGACCTCCACATTCCCATAAAAAAAATAAAATTAAAAGAGCACCGGGCCATTGTCCTAAGTAGTATAATCTCTCCCCTTCGGAGGTTCAAGCCCTAAGTGGGGCAAAAAAATGTGCGAGTCATCTACTTTATTAAATATATATATATGTGTTTGTGTTTGTGTGTGTGTGTGGTAGGGATCGAATACCTGTACACAGTTCAGCAGCCAATACCATGGACTACAAACCACTACATTGTTCTGCAGATGAAGTAACAACCATATAAATAAATTAAAATCACATACTTAAATAGTAACAGATATAAATGTAATTTGGAAAGAGACAGAGAGAGCACTTACCTTGATAATCTGTAGAGATAAAAAAGAAACCCACACAAGCATTAACACCATAATCCTTTTCCAGCTGAGGTTAGATGTCAAAATTTCCTGAAAACATATCGCAAAAGGTTTAGGATCACTAACATAGAAGATAAAGAACACCATACCACATATTAAAGTAGGATTTACTCACCATATCCGTTTTCTCCTCTTTAGGTACCAGTGGTTCGAACATGGAATCAACTAGAACTGAAAAAGTTACCCCAAACGCAAAAGAGAAAAATACATATTTTTAAATCCACATACACAAAAAAAAGAAAAAAAGAAAAAAAAAAGAAGGCGTTCATGGGTTTTAATTTCTGGGTGTCTTACGTTCGCCATGAGAGTTAACTGTTGTTTCTTCTTGTAGCTTTTCTGCTTCTTTCTGTAGTTTTACAGAAAAAAATAAATAAGGAAAGGGTTAATATGCATCATATTCTAAGTTCGTCAGATAAAAAAGTATTTTGTGATTTTCTTTGCCTTTGCATTTTACTTTTAAACAAGATTGCTGGTAAATATACCAAAAAATTATTTAAGCAAACTCAAAAGGGCCTTAATTTTAACGCAACTAACCTTCAAAATAGTCTCTTCCTTCCACATCTGCTTCGCCTTAAAAAAAGACCTTGAAGAAGTTCCTATTAACATAAAATTGAAACAAAACATTAAAAAAACAAGGGTTTTACTGTGAACTGTAAACAAAGATGTTCCTTTTAAAAAAAAAAAAAAATTATGTAGGGATATATGGGTCAACTGTCATATATTAACATATGTTAAACCAATGATCGACTTGAATTACACAATCAAAAAAATAAAAAAAAATTGCATACCCAAGAAGAGAATGATGATGAGGACTGTGATGAGCCAATAGGGGAAGACAACACTGAGACTGACACCAATAGTGATGCCTAGCATGAGCATGGGCTGGAACAAGAGTGCCAAATCATAGTCTATGATGGGCACTTCTCTGCATGGATGGGGCACCCTTAAATTGTACCACACTGATGCTGCTGAAGCCCCCATTATCATACCTGCAAACAAAATTCCCCAAAAAAAAAAAAAAAAAAATTGTACTGCACCATTAAGAACATTAGTTACAACTACAATTTGCACATACAAAATATACATATACATATATATAATGAGGGCCGGCTGGCCTCCCGAGGCTGCCTACACCTAACTCTCCGGACATTGCCAGCCACTGATGGGAGTTTGGTGCGCTGGGTAGCCCTTTACATGTACACACATATAGAGAGAGAGAGAGGAGAGAGAGAGAACGTACATTTGGAGAGAGCAGCAGCAGACTTGGTATCAAATCCAACAATCAAAGTAAGCATTGGAACGAAAATGCCGCCTCCACCCACACCACCAACCGTCCCACAGGCAGATCCCAGAAAACCAATCACTGTCGCCACTACAATTCTCCAATTAAGCTCTAAATCCTGCCACAGGGGAGAGAGAAAAAGAAACCCATTAAGCAAACAAGAAGAGTCTTCTCATATATATATATTTGTGAGAGAGAGAGACATACAGGCCAAGCTTGTGATTCAGATCCATATGAGTGTTTCAAAAGAGTGGAGTTTTGATGTAAAAGACGAGGTGGGTTTGTGAATTTATCATTTTGGTGGTCGTTGATGAAGAGAACTGAAAGAACAGCCACAGAAAATCCAGAAAGCAGATACACCACAAACCCTCTAGTCGCCATGACTGCCTGTTGCTATGATGATCAATGTTCAAAACGCCACCACCTCTCTTCTTTCTTGCTTCAAAACTGTGTTTATTACTTTAATGTTCTTCAAGACAAAAACAAGTTCAAAGACTGCCCAAATGTGTGTGTATATATATATATATATATAGAAAGAGAAGAAAGTTTATTAGAGAGAGAAATGTCAATTACGAAGCATGTAGGTAGTAGCTGTATCCTCACATGTGCCTCACGGGTCTGAGAGCGCTCACACTTCACAACTGGGAAGGACAGTTTCCAAATCTGATTTATAAACATGGTTAAGCCACATAACCACTTTTCTACGGTGCCATAGTCAAATCATGTTCAATGTCATGTTTTTTTAAATGCTGAACAAATTGGGAAAAAAAAAGTGGCCATAGAATTGGATAAAAAAAAGTGGTCATCATGATTGTTTCACTTATGATGCGATAAATTGGAGATCATATGCAGCACCAATATTTTTACTAGCCACAAGTTTATCACATGTAAATTAAAAAACTCAAGCAAATATAAAAACACACACACACATCTATATATATATATATTAAATTCATAACTGATTTATGGCCTTATATTGGAAAGAATATTAATTTGTGTGAATCAACATAAATTTGACAAAATTACCCATCAAAAAAATAAATAAATAAATAAATTTGGCAAGTTATAGAAAACTGAAACAGCATAACTTTTTTTTTGAATCTTGAAAGTTTATCACATGATTCACATATTAATTAAAAAAGTCAAACAAATATAAATGCATCTATATGTATACATTAAATTCATATGTTATTTATGGCTTTTTTTTGAAAGAATATTAATTTGTGCGAATCAACGTAAACTTTGAAATTACTCCGTAATTGAAAATTGAAACAGCACAATTTCCTTGCTTATTCAAAACGGTGATTATTATGATCTCTATAGACAGATTCAACAATGTAACCAACTTTTGGATCATAATTTTATTTATTTATTTTTATTTTTTTTATCATAAGATTATTGGCTGCACACTGATGGCATCAGCAATGGTGGGCTTTTTCAACTGTGATATACATTCGTTGTTTCCACTAATATTTTCCTCATCAACGTGGAATTTTTTTGGCTTTATGGTTAATTGCCACAACCAAATCTAAAGTTTCTATATTAGTTTTCTTAAGGTTTTAATTTTTGGGGGTTCAAAATTTTAAAATACTTGTCAATAAGAATACATAAAAACAAAATTTCTCAACAATTGTTCCTTTCCAATCACAAATTTTAAAATACAGTGATAAAAGAAAAGAAAAAAAAATAATAATAAAAACCACAATTATGAATTTAGGTAATTTTATGCATACAATTCTTTATTCATTTAAATGGTTTTAGATCTCATCATGACATCTGGCTTTGCTTCAATTAAATCATAATCAACCAATAAAGATCTAAAACATATAGTCATTTAGTGTCAAACTATCATATAAATTGCATACGAGGCATTGAAGCACATGCAATCACTTCCACTTTCACTTTAGTTTAATTTTTATAATTATTATTTGTACATTGACAACATGGTTAACAAAATGGGATTGGCTAAACGACAATGTCCATATAACCTAAGCACGTCAACTAGACAAAATTTGTTTTTTTAGTTATAATAATTTAATAAATATAAGTATTCTATCTTTAAGAATGGTATTTGTTTAAAAATCCAAAAACCATACACTTTTCTTTAAGAATGCAATATCCTTTTGTTTATTATTCTCAAACATATCTACTTCTCCTTTCTTTAAGAATGGTACTTTTGACTTTTATTATATATTTTTTCTCTTTTAGTTTCTGTTTTCTATTCTCACGTCTTATATATGATAGATTTTTAATTTCTTTCATGCTTACAAATATATTATTATTATTCATTGATTTAGTAAAAAATATAAGTATCATGTTTTTTTAATAAGAATTACTTAAAATTTATAAACAATTCACCACTTATCTTATATGATTTTCAAAATTCAATAAAAATTACTAAAGTATACTAAAAATTCATTTTATATATATATATATATATATTTGTAAAAAGATAGTGTATCTATAAATCTTTTTGGCTTATGAGTGAAATGGTAGAAAATTCATGATTGTAATAATTAATTCTGTTATGTTATGTTGATACAAACTGGAATTCGTTACACGAACCTAAGACACTTGCTATAATCTACACCACAATGGATCACTGGTTTGCTTTATATTAAAGGAAAAGATACCAATACATAAAGATGCTAAAACAAATGTATTGCTTCCGAAGCTAATACTGTAGCAAATTGCTAAGCCAAGTCAAGCTTTTTTTTTTTGGAGTATTAGCTTCGGAAGCAATACATTTTATATATATATATATATATATATATATATATTCAGCAGTGTTCAGTGTTCAATTGCTGTCTCGGAGCAAAAAATTATATACTCATTTTACGGCAATTAGTTAATTGACTTTTATTCTATTAAATATCGTTAAAGAAAAATGACAGAATTAGATAATTTATTAAAGGAAACAAAAATAAAATAATTTGGCTACTTTTTTGTCTGGGTTTCTCTGTCCAGTTAAAAAACACTTCCCCATCACTTCCGATTGTTTATTCAACAAATTTGCAAGCAGCAACAAAAACCAAATAAAATTAATCAAAAGAGATAAATAAAATGGCCATTAAATAAAGATTGCTTGTAAAGTATTGATTATAATCAAAACTCAAATTTCAAGATTGATCCATGTTTTATACTCAATTTAATAAAATATTTTGAATTTGTTCAACAACTAATTTAGAATTAGGAGACTACTATTGGTTTCATAATTATTTTAGAAAGATCCTACAAAACAACTCTTAATATATTATTATATATCCATCTAAATGTTCTCGGTGTTTTTTTATCTTTTATTTTTTTGGTAAATTAAATGTTCAAAGCATTGTTCAGTAAAAGCAAGCCAAAATATGTATAATATCATTGCAAATCCTACGTTTGTTCATAATTTATCAACAGAATTGATAAAGTGCGAAAAAAACTAAAAATGATGACTTTCAATTTTAGATTAATTTTACTTCGTCCCAGTGGCTACTTGCAAATTTTGCAAAAAGTTGCCAAATTATTTTATTCTTATTTCCTTTAATAAATCGTCTAATTCTGTCATTTTTCTTTAACGAAAGAAAATGTAAGTTTCTTAAAATAAAGAAAATAAAAGTCAATTAACTAATTGGCGTATGATTAGATCCTAAGATTACAATTAAAAGTGAATATATAATTTCTGACTCCTAGGGAGCAATTGAACACTACTGATATATATATATATATATATATATATATATATATATATATATATATATATATCATAACTTTTATATTACTTCTTAAGTTTCGTGCTACTTCTAAAGAACAAAACCAACACGCAGTGCGACTTAAAAAACTTAGAGGTATCCTTAGATGAAGTTATTGTTAGTAAGTACTCTGTAGTCTTAATCCCACCCTTCCCCTTTTAGAAGTCATAGTAACAGCAATTCATTGCTGTAATGATGTTTTTGTTACCACTAAGTTCCCTAGCCAGTTGGCCACCAGTGTTTAAATTCTACCTAACTAAGAGAATGATGAGTTTCGTTAATCTAGCGTGAAAGAAAAAGTATGAAAAGATAATGATTCTCGGACCTAATAGTTTAAAACTCTAAGAAATTTATTTTTATGAATTGAATTTGACCTTATTCAATTCATTTGAGGGAAGAAAATTCCTCGGTTATTTGTCTTGTGATTAAATTATTAGGTCTCAATAACATTGTTCATATAGAAAAAGTCACAACTTACATGCTCTTACAAGCTTGAAATCCGGAACACTAGTGGTATAAATGAATCTTTGAAGAAAAGCCAATTTTACACCATGGAATATCCTCCTCAACGTGATTAGAACTGTCTCAGACCCATGTAAGTTACAACTTTCCCCTCCTGAAAAAAGGGAATGCCAATTATCCGAACCGGGATAACAGTGCAATAAAAACATGGTAAATATAGGAAACACTTGTTAAATTAAGTAGTTAGTTATGGAATCTAAATCAAAGTTATGTAATATAAATTACTATTTACTGTGGCCAGTGGGATCAAAGCTAGTTCATATGACAAATGTGCCATTAGTTCAAAAGTATAACCTCTCTTCTCTCAAAGGGGATATGAGGGGTTTGAGCCTCGTATTTATGAATGGTGTGTGTGAATACTTAACCGAAAAAAAAAAAAGGAAGTTCATGTGGTCCTAATTTCTATCACGTAGAATGGACTTGATACCGATGTGTATGGACAACATAAGCTACCTTCACCCCTTTTTTCATCAGCCTCTACATTATCTGTGGTGTGTTGGTTCCTATACATCAATTATGTGTGACAATAACATATAATAGATACCCTTCTCAATCTTTTTCGTCTCTACTAGATGTTGTGCAGCTTCCTAAACTTTGTGTATCATAAGGTCAATTGTGGAGCCCCTGGAATGCCTACTTCAATATAGTATAAAACTTGGATATTCCTTATTAATGGCAAGGGAATTGTCAAATACACTTTTCTATGGTTTTGTCACTTGTCAAGTCTGGGCTCGAATCCCTCCCCTCCTCCTTGAAGATAAGGAGGTTATACTCGTAGGCAGTTTGTCACTCAACAAGTTGAAGACTGAAGAGCTAGCTCTTTTTGGCACTAAATTGTGGTTGATCCACTTGGTGGAAGGGTTAAACAGAGAAAATGTTACAGGTTATTTTGGCCATGTATCAAATAGTGTAGTCTAGTCATGGCCTAACTCAGATACCTATAGCCTTAATTTAAATACCTTAAAAGTACAACATTATTAGTATATAGGACACAACTCAAGCCAAAAAGGACCAAACAATTTATGAAATCAGAGCGATTTACAAAAAACTAAGGACCTAATCTTAGCAAAATTACCCAGCTAAAAATTTTAAAATTTGAAATTTAATTATAGTAATCCTATGTATCCATTCAGCTCTATCCAAAGTTATAACTTTGGTCAAAATCATATATCAACGTGTATTATGTCACTCTTCCTCCCCTCTATTTTCAGAAAAATTACAATATACACACTACTCATGCTTGCTAGGTGTGTAGTATCTCTGAAAATAAAGGGGAGGAAGAGTGACCTTCGGTCAAAATCATATATCAGTGTCTTATGTCACTCTTCCTCCCCTCTATTTTCAGAGATACTACACACCTAGCAAGCATGAGTAGTGTGTGTCTATATATATATATATAT